ACAAGGAGTGGGTTTAAAGGTCAATTCTGATCACCAATAATGTCATCACTTTGCAGTCCTTCGTAGCTGTGTAGTTATGTAAAGTGCACAGATCGGGTCCTGGGCTATGTTTACATACAGCGCTGGTATTTTCCATTGCATGCGAGTGTTTTTACCCATTCATTTGAATTGAAGTTTTATTGGATTGACACTATTGGAAGTGCTTGGCTTTTCTCTTTCTTTTTAGATACGTGAAGGTGATTAACCTCCCTGGCGGTATGATTATTTCAGATTTTTGGTGCTGAAAGCGGTACCATTTTTTTGCATGAAAATATGTAGTTTTTTTTTATTGTAGGCCTGTAATTTAGGAATAACTCACTGAAAAAACATTCCGGATATGATAAAACTTGAAACACGAAATCATACATTATAATTTAATAAATAATCATAAAAAATAACAATATAATAATAATAAATTTAATTCAATATTATAATCAAACCAAAAACACTGAAATTTGAAATAGAGCGCCAATTTTGCACATCGCTGAGCAAAGTCGTAAAATTGTTTTCAGTGTCTGATGACGAATTTCCCCCACGAATCGTTATCACTCAATTCTGCAAGTGGTTCTGATTTACTATCGCTGTTCTCTAGCTGGTCTAAAACCGATTTTGACATAAAGGGACGCTTTTTGGACACCATGGAGGTTTCTAAGTTTTTTCCAGGCAGAAAGAACAGTCAAAATGCAGGCAGGGCAAAGGATGCCGGCATCGGCCGGAGGAGATGGCTGGGGACGCTGCAGGGGACGCATCGCGGGAGCAAAACAAGACAAGGTAAGCACTGCAGTGAATCCCTGTGCAATGCTGCGTGGTAAGCCCGAGTGTAGCTCGGGCTTTTGGTACTGAAACTCTACCCCGAGCTACACTCGGGAATACCGCCAGGGAGGTTAATAAAGTGATTAATAAAGTGAACTTTAGTCAAAAATAGAGGATCCTTCATGTCCCCTTTTGCTAAACAGCATTACAAATAAGATGTACTGATTAAAATCCAGTAATACACTGTGCTGCTGCTCTGCACATGCTCAGTTGTCCTGTATTTTAAGCACTGTGCCTATAATCAGTGAGTCACTAGAGGCCATTCTGCTAACAGCCAAAAGATTTTCTCTTGCTGAAGGGGGGGAATGCAACAATGCATCAGGAATAACAGACTGTGCCGATGGAGGACAGATTAGGGAGAGAGCAAAAAAAAAAGCAGGAGAGGTGACAGGACAAACTCTGCTGCCAGGGAAAAAAGTTCAACATACAAGGATAGTGCCTTATCTTATCGCCCCAATATTCTCTCCTTTCTCCCTCATAAGCAACTGTGAACCTAAGCCCTGTCAGCTTCTGTAGCCTTTTTCTCTAGCTGAGCCAAGACATACAATCAAAGCTGGAAATGCACACATTTTAATTACAGAAAGTGACATATTTTTGGGGACAAGGACAGGGGGAGTGTTCCTAATAAGGAAGTGACTGCTCTGGGCTTCAACAAAATGGCCGCCTCCGGCAAGAAGAAACGGGAGCGATGTTGGAGGCAATTTACAGCAAACACTAATTTTGGTAGCATAATTTTAGTTGCATGTATGTTCCTTGCTAAAGAACATAATTATTTTATCAAGTTGTTATGGGTAAAATTCTGCTTTAACAAGAAGTGGTGGAATCCAATGTCATCGTGTGACCTATGGTGTTTCTTACCATCATGTGCAATATGACTCATTTTTGATAGGGGGTCATGTTTTCTCTGGCAAGTCCCCATGTGGAGTTGAATTTGTAGGATGAGCGCAAATGAAGAATACCTGTCTTTGTTCTCACATCACATTATGGAATAATTTTTGGGATCAAGTCACAGACTGTTTCTATTGGATTGAGAATATTGACTTCAATTATTTATTTTCACACTTGTACATGTGTGTGAATACATATTTGTTCACTGAAAGTTTTTGCTCCCTGGGTTCAGCTGTAATATAAAGGCCTAAAACTTGAGTGGAGTTGAGTCAACTTAAAAAAAAAACAAAAAAAAACCTAGTAAGTACAGTTTTTACATTTCTGTCACGTGTGCGTATATATATATATATATATATATTTATATATACACATACATATATATATATATACATATATATACAGTCAGTCAGGTCCATAAATATTGGGACATCGACACAATTCTAACATTGTTGGCTCTATACACCACCACATTGGATTTGAAATGAAACAAACAAGATGTGCTTTAACTGCAGACTGTCAGCTTTAATTTGAGGGTATTTACATCCAAATCAGGTGAACGGTGTAGGATATACAACAGTTTGCATATGTGCCTCCCACTTGTTAAGGGACCAAAAGTAATGGGACAGAATAATAATCATAAATCAAACTTTCACTTTTTAATACTTGGTTGCAAATCCTTTGCAGTCAATTACAGCCTGAAGTCTGGAACGCATAGACATCACCAGACGCTGGGTTTCATCCCTGGTGATTCTCTGCCAGGCCTCTACTGCAACTGTCTTCAGTTCCTGCTTGTTCTTGGGGCATTTTCCCTTCAGTTTTTTCTTCAGCGAGTGAA